AGCTTATGAGATTTGTAATTTATTAGTGTCTGTTTCAGCTATCATCGATTTAGATTATTATTAGGAAAATAGCTAGACTACAATTTATATCTTAGTGAAACTTGTATTATTTACAAGCTGTAACGTCTCTCTGTGGTTTGCCTTATTCCTCACATCCCAAAGCTTGTATTTCCTACATTTTTATATATTTAGGTACAGAAAGTTATCACCCTTAGCCATATCGCCGTGCCTCAAGCCCGGCCAAGCCGTAACACTCGCTCATCAAATATGCGCATTGTTCGTACAATAACACACTGGTCCAGAACTAAACAAACTTGTAATCCCGACATCAAAGCAGACGCCGCAAGTGGCCGAAATAAAACTGTTGTGTTATTAACAGGAGGGCGAGGGACTGGATGTGGCAGGGTTGAACAAGTTGAGTTTATTGTTAAGACCAGCTATGAGTTGTATTCTGAAACGTCTGAACTGTACTAAAGGTTAAAAAAAAGTGATCAAAACATTTTTTTCACGAGCTTGAACTATCACAAGCTTGATTACCTATATTATTCTTAATTAAATTCATATTTTTAAGTCATCTTACAGTACTTTTGATTCCTTCTAAACTGAATACAAATTAGTTAATTAACTCAACAATTTAAATAGAAAATTACAACCATCGTGATGATAAAGGAGTTATCAAATATTAAAAAAATATATGCTTACTAGAAATAGTAATTTAAACCGCTCGTATATTACACAATTTGTGAAAATATTTAGAATTATATTTTATGTTATGATAAAAAGTAACTAACATCAGCGAACCAGCCCGAGACTAATCCCGAAATATATTTCTAAGAGCAATTACCAAAAATCTAACACAAGTACATATTAATACCACATCCAGCCGTCTAAATCACGCGTCTGTGCCCGAGAAAAAAAGGGGGGGCGGGTCGAATATCCCGCAGGGGGGTCGGCAATGGACTGAAGGAGCCCCAATCAATCTTAAGTCGCAGTGCGATGGGGGCATTTGGGGGGCAGCCACTTTCGGGGGTCGAGGGACGATACCCTCTTACGGTCGGCACAACTGACCCTCGCAGGGACCACGGGGAAAAGGTCGCACATAAACTTTTTGTTGGATTTTCTATAGGTATTTAATTTTGGGTTGAGGAGTAAAATGTTTGCGGTATATGTCGTTTCTGTAGTATTCTGAAATTATGGAAAACTAGGATTTTACATGGCTAAAAATTAAATATTCTGATGAATATGGAAAGCTCAGATAAATGTCTACGCCTATTCCAGTAACAAAATCTATTCTATAATTTAAATAATACTTAGGTTCTATTTATTTTTATACAAACGGTCATAATTTGGCTCTAATAAAATACAATTGCTAACAAAGAACTTAAATGAAGATTTCATAATTTGAACTACGGTTAACATTAATAATTTTCAAGGCACGCGATTGCCCATTATTTTGACAAAATATAATTATTTAGAGAACTTCAATAGTTTTTTGTGTTTACAATTTGGGAAATTGAACTAATAAAATAAACTACGAGTACAACATCAACCTTTTCATGAAATGCAATTTTTTTGAATTTTTCTGCTGATATAACACCAAATTCAAATTCAAATTCAAAATACGTTTATTGTGAACCACAGGTACATAGGTTGTCAAATTATAAATGGATATAGATCGGCTGCGTTCCGCCTTGAAGGAATACAATAGTTAGTGCTTAATTCTAGGGTTAAAGTTTATGCTGAAGGTTAGGTGCAAACATATTAAGTAATTATTCAGAATTTTTCAAATAATCGATCAATAAACAATTTGGTCCGTCAAAAAGTCACTAGTCTTATAATAACATTTTTCTGTCAAAAAATCACTAAGATTTCGTTTAAAAGATATCAGATCTTCAGAGTAATCCTTCAGATCCAATATATTTAAATGAAATAGAAATATTTTTGTTTCTAAATAATCTAGCACAAATTACTGATATTCAAACTACAGAAGCGTATATTAAACGTCAAGTTAAGCGCATCTCCATCTTGCCCAATTACAATCGAAAAACTCGGAAAGCGTAGTTGCCCTCTTTTCCTTCGGGCGTCGTTTTTGTGTGTTGTCTTATACCATGACGCCCCCGGCTGATGAGCGCGCCCCCTCCCCACAGGCCGAGAAAAATGAGTTAGAGAAGATGCTCCCCGATTATGGCTAGGGCCCTTTGTGAGGAACATTCGTCCGAATCAATCGCCACCTGGCTTGTACAATGACGTCTGCGACCCTTCGCCCTTAGCCTGGCCTAGGCTAGACAGATTGCAATGCTTTGGCAAATAAACCTAAATGAAGCTGGCAATATTATGATGGAAAACTCTATTTTGACCAAACTTGAAAAATTCACTAACTTTTTTCACAAACAACGATGTCTTGCTTGTTTTTATTCCCGTCAAAAATTATGTTAGTTCTCTTCACTTTTAAATTTACAGATTACGAAATACAAAGCTTGTTTCCATTCCAATCTAATCTTTGTGTAGTAGGTCTTAGGATTCATTATTGTATGAAAGTCGACGCGAGGGCAAACGGTCGTTTCGGTCACCTGATTTTAAATGCGTAATAACGAAGATTTTGCTTTAAATGCTTAGATATTAAATACTCGATAGTGTTTACTAACTGTTGGTTATTACTTCGTTTGTGGTTTAATTCTATCTGCACTTTAACTTTACAATGGTTGATAACTTTGCAAGTTTCTCGTCTACTGTCGTACTACGTCGTAGCCTCACAGGTCGTTTGGGACACGGCGAGCGCTGCAGGGTTACAAATCAGGTGCCCCAACAAACCACCTTTAAAACCTGCGCCCTTGGTACTTTTGATTTACTGTCACCGCTTGTATTAAGTCGAAAGCTCAAAATTTTCGACATGGTTTATGTTAAATTACAGTTCCATTCATGAATTCTGAAAAAGTCTCAATTGCGACTTAAGACATTCGCGTGGCGTGACAACGCATTAGCCCCCGGGGTCATTCAGGACACTGCGAGGCGCGAGCGCTGCAGGGTTACGTGTCAGGTGTCTCAGTAGACCCCCTATAAATTCTGCAAGCCTGGTACTTTTGGGCTGCGGTGACAGCTCCTTTGAGAAATTAGACGACAAAAAATAAAGTAAATAATGTATTCAGCTGTATAAGAGACGTGAATTGTGATATTAAACAAAATAATTTACAATTCAAAACGTATATCTAAGGGCTGACTTTTCAACCGTCAGATATCTTAACTGAAGAATAAACTTGTCATTTTGACATATTTTCCATACTGAAACTGTCAATGTGCCAAACTTATACTTCGGTTAAAAGTTATCCGATGATTGAAAAATTATCCCTAAAGCAATTAACTCTGTCCAAAATCAAATAATATGGGCGTATCGTGGTTGGTATAGATAGCTCAAATAACCCGGTCATGATGACACATTCAGGTCAAATTGTAACCACCTTTATTTTACAACTAGCTGACCCGGCGAACTTCGTACCGCCTTAGCGTAGAGATTTTCTTTATATTTTTTTCCGTAAGAACCATCCTTGGACTTCCACAAACATTTAAAAAAAAGAATTATCGAAATCGGTTCAGCCGTTCACACGTGATGCCGTGACAACGCGAAACGGGTTTCATTTTTATATATATAGATTCGCTTTAACTACATATATGCCGTCCACAGCTGGACAAAGGGGGAGCCACGGATTTCCACAATGACTGGTTTGATTACTATTAACCGAAGGATAAAACGTTTTGAAAGATATAACAAATCCAAACATCACAAGCATATCTGCGTACGTTCTCATACCACATCCAAAAAGTTTCGAGTAACCTTAAAAGGGCGTTTAGGGCGCAGAATAATCCCGACGTTAAATATTTCAATCGAACGCTCAAATCATAACGCGGGTAGGGCTCCGCACACAAAGGGACCGACCCGCTGCCGCAGCGGGTTTGTTCGCAACTCGGACTTTGAGACAGGGCATAGATTAAAAGGGATGGGAACAGAGGTGCCACTCGTTTGAAACAAGAAATAAACGACATGTTTTTCGATCATCTTAAAAATCAGCAAGTTTGTTCACAATTTGGATGGCATAGACTAAAAGGGATGAGGGTAGAGATGCCACTTCTTTGAAACGATAATTAAACGGTATGAAAGTTCTAAATCTTGTTTCTTTTTCATCGGAACCTGAGTCTCAGACTAATATTGTAAGAATTTTAGCCTCAGGCGCCACCTTAAGTTTAAGACTGCGGATGCGCCAGTGAGTACTAATCTGCGCGACTTGTATCACCCCCTGATGCTTGGCACCCGGGGCGGACCGCTCTGCGACTATAGAGATTGAACTTCAATATTTTGACAAAGACAGGCTTGAATCTATTTTACCGTGAGTAACACAACAATGAAAAATTCACATCAAAGATAAAACCTACGACCTCGCCGCGCCGGCGGACTTTCCCCCATTTCATGCCTAAAGTCCATTCTGCGCTATATTCACTGTCGATCGGGCCTGCCTCGTCTAACTAGGGTCAAACGGGTCGCCTCGCAAAATGATATGTTTATTCCTAGCCAAAATTTGTTTAGACATTATTTTATTGTGCTTAAAGTATTTTAGGAATGCCTTTTAAGTGGAAGGTTCTATTCCTAATGAGGGGTCGGGGTTAGGGCGAAACTCTACATAATTTGCTTTATATGTGAAAATGGGTATATTTTAAATCTATGACGATCGTTATATCTCCATCATCTTTCAATTACTTTAACAAATTCCTTAAGATAGACGTTTTTGTCGTAAAATAATACCTATTACAACTCTGAAGTCTAACGTCCGTAATCACAAACGATGCTTGCATAAGTGAAGCAGCAAATCGAATGCATAGCGTTGAATAGAGCTCTGTGATTGGTTCGTGTGTCACCCTTTGCGTCCATGCCACGCGCACTTTGAGACCTCATAGTTAATGGTTGTGAATAAGGCCGTAAATCACCTCAAAATCGACAAAATATGACTTACCTTATTTTCCGCGTCCAATCTCTCCTGAAACGCCATGCCCATACTCCTCATGTGCTTCAGGTATGCTGTGGTGATAGGCACGCTGAAGTCCATCTCCTCCCCGCCATAGTACACCCCCCCATCAGGCCTCCAGGGCTTAGGCACCCTCCCAAACGTACTAGGGTGCTCTATACTAGACATTAGAAGCTTTTTCCTAGGAGGCGATCTAGCCTTAGGAGGATCCTTCGATGTCAGATTCGCCACGTCCAAAGGATTATACTTTTTCTCTTTCTTAACCTCAGTCTTGTTCTCTTTAGCTCCTCCCATCAATGCCGCCCTGGTACTTTTCTCTTCCTTACTTCTACTACTATCCTCAACTATCTGCAAAGGCGGCGGACTATCACATCTGACGTCTTCTACATCTATCAAACTGTCATCCTTGTCAATTTCAGGATCAGTTCTGACTGGTTCTACTTCTCTAAACGCCGGTTCTACCGGCGAATTGTATAGATTATTTGCTTCGAAATTCTTTTTAGAGGTGAGTTCGATATACGTAGGTTCAGCTTCTTCAGTGTCAGCTTTCGGGCTGTCAATTTTCTTGGGTATTTCGTATTCGTAAGGGAAATTTTGCGCGGCGTCTATCTCCGATTCCCAGTTTCGGGAGTAGTCGGAGCATTGGGGTAAGAAGGGGAGGTAGGTGGGGTGTCTGGGGGGGGCGGGGGGGAGGGAGTGGGGAGGGGNTCTTCAGTGTCAGCTTTCGGGCTGTCAATTTTCTTGGGTATTTCGTATTCGTAAGGGAAATTTTGCGCGGCGTCTATCTCCGATTCCCAGTTTCGGGAGTAGTCGGAGCATTGGGGTAAGAAGGGGAGGTAGGTGGGGTGTCTGGTGGGCGAGGGGGACGGAGTGGGGAGGGGGGGAGGTGAGGCGCTGCGCGGGCGCCGCGCGCACTCGGCGCATCCGGTCAGGAAACGCGTGACAGCCTCGCGGGGAAGGAACGCGTACGTCTCGGTGATCTGTGGGCAAAACATCCTGATTAGTGAACGTAGATACGGCCGAGTTATGTTGGTTGGAGTTACGAATGTTACGGGGTACAAGACAAGGAGTTGTTCTGGTTAAATTAGGACTCTTTTCAGATTTAGCGGTAGTAAACCTGAAAGTCTAACGAAGTTTTAGATAACGCTTCAGAGCAGTTTACAAACAATAGGTACAAAAGACACGAATATATTGAATTACACCTTATCGTCACAAAATTACGTTACAGAAAATAAATGTCCTTGATTCCGTGTCCGCGTATTTATTTATATTTTAAAACTATGTACATACTCATCATTTAAACATTTTTCGTCAACGGGATTCGAACCCGTGTCCCGTACCAGAACAGGCCTAGTACGCAACTGCCAAGCCAGGCAACCAAGATAAACTTACAGTAATAACTTCAGTTTTTGACTTGAGTATTTCTATGAAATCTTATAGTCATAATTTTTATTTTTATTTTTATTTGTTTAACAATGTTTCTAATAAGTAATATTATTTATTACGAAATATTCTTCAACGTTTAAGGTCAATAGGAAATTATCATATTTTCTCCTCTTACTTTATCGTTTCTAAGAGGTTCAGAGAGGCTTACAACCTACACTACTCTTGTACATAAGTCGGCAATAAGTAGAAGAGGGACTTCAAATCGTTAGCCCGTTCCTTGAGAAATTTCTTTGAACTCAATAAGGGAAAGTATTGGTAATAATAACCTTACTTCAATAATAAATCATTTTAATCACTAACGAAGGCTGTTGGCTGAAAATAAAACCTGAATTTTCAGCCAACAGAATACCCTAAAGCCATCTACAATCGTTCAGACATAAGTTAAATTTTATAAAAAAAAATAAAACCGACTCCAAAAAACCTACACTAAAAAGCAGAATAATAATTACCTACTTATTTATTAGGACGAATTATTAATATTTATGTAGGTATACCATGATTGATACTTAATTGGTTTATAATCGGCGGAGATATTGCGTATAAAAAAGTTCATCCCCAATTTTCCACCCTTGGGGGTTGTTTTTTTTATTATTAAATTTAAATGGGACCACTCTTGAGATATTACCTATACGCTGAAAAAAGATTTGTTCAAATCGGTTCATAATTGGCGGAGCTATCGCGTAACAAACATAGAAAAAAAAAAAAAAAAAAAAAAAAAAAAAAAAAAAAAAAAACATACGGGTCGAATTGAGAACCTCCTCCTTTTTTTGAAGTCGGTTGAAAACTTAAACCAGCCATTTTCAGAGTCAGACTCCGTACTATGTGGTTCAACTTTCAATCACTAGATGGCGGTACAAGTTTTAACTTTTTTTTATTAAATGAAAACTTGTACTTATTTGTTTAACAAATAAAAAATATACATTAAAATGTTAGTTACTTAATTTTAAATTATTACTTACAGTTCTATATGTCCGTTTTTGGCCCGCATGTTTTCCCGGTCGACCTTCCAGTTCTACGTGGACTGTGTAGATGATGTCGAAGAAATTTTCAACAATCGCCACTTTTCGATAAACTGGATCTTGATTTGGTGCATTCTGTAACAAGGAAAATATTTCCAAATAAATAAACCAGTTATTTTTTTTTCTACCACCGCCACCTAGTGTCAGTATTATGAACTTTCGTCAATCTGTTTCAGTCATCTTACAATAGATGGCGCTGAAAACAGAAAGCATACTTGCAAACGTTTTCTTAATTTGGCAACAGATGGTGTAATGGTACTAACGAAAATAATAAGACCAAAATAATTTTAGAAAAACACAAAATGAAATTATGCAGATGATTTGAAATAATATTTTCAGTAAGTCATGAAAAATTTTGAAATATAATTATTCATTTTAGCCTATTATCACAATATTTTGTAAATAACACCTATTTATTATTAGCAAAGTTTGTGTAGTTTTTAAGTACTTTTAAGTTTTTTGTAAGTTGATAAAATAACTTTTACATCAAATAAACTAAGAGGTGTAACTGTAGTGAAATTTCAGGACAAAATCACACTTCAAGAAGTTCAAAAAAGTTTTATAATGCATGCCTGAAAAGTTTTACTAGTTTGTTTAAGTTTACTTAAGCTCTCACATAAAAACCGTCGATATGATTGTTTTAGTAGCTTTTATCTTTATTTTTTAACTCTCCATCTAAAAAAATTCAAATGCTGAAAATGGGTTATAATAACTTTTACTCATTATCATTTTCACGTACACACTTCTTCCTTCATATCTCAGACAGGCTGTCTACAACAGCTTGTTGTAATAGCCCAGTTATAAATCACGTAATGTAATACTTAATTAAAGTAATACATTACCGTGGACAGTAATTAGTGTGTGACAGGGGTCACCCTCCGTTCTATCACTCATGCGTTTTGGGCATGCAGGTCGCTAGTAATATTTTATTTATTTTGATATTTTGTTAAAACATTGGTTTTACTTTTAACCAGTGATTTATTAAAAACTAGCTATAGTAGGACACCGTTGTTTTTTTTAATTCAGTTTTTTGTGTTTCGTTCCGAAATCTCTTGTTTGATAATATGCAAGCGGATCGATGTAAAAAGAATCTTTAAATTAATATTGACAGAGTGTACCAGTAATTTGGCCCACTTTTAGCTTGGCCCACGGGTCAAGTCGCTGGATTGAATTTTTAATTTTTTTTTTCTTACTATACCTGGGCCCACTGTGGTGGCGCCTCACAAGATATTTTTGGTTTAAAAATCATAAGAACTTTATTAAAGTTAGTGATAAGTAAGTAGGTTAGTTACTGGAACATTTACAAAAATAAACATCTACAAAACAAACTCGCCCGCAACCCTGGTGACGTCACCGCCCCGCCCCGATGCGGTGCGCTGTAATTAGCGGCGGCGGGCCGGTGACCGGCGGCCGGCGGGCGGCGGGCAGGCGTAATCCGGCGCCGACGTAATTAGGGGCGCTATCTGTTTCGACACTGGCCACGTGCGGCGAGAACTAAAACTTAGAAGTTTGAAGCTACCTGCTGTTTATGCTCATGTGAGACACTTATCATTTAAAATATGATCAATAACAATAATTTTTATTTCTCATTGTTTTTAGTAACATGAAGAACAGCCTAATTTGAAAAATGAATAAGGGTTCCTTGTCAGGACTACGGAACCCTAAAAAAGATGCCTGTCTGTCTGTCATTTTAGGTGATTTCACTATCCAGCTGATGATCATCATTACCGTGCACCTGTCATTGAAAAAATACGTGTATTTTTGCAGAGCATTGTGAAAAGTTATTTTATGGATAGCTTTTGAAAGTTTCATAACGTTGTTTGTAATATAAATATAACTCGCAGTTCCATCCCAAAGACTATGGAGGACATCAGCAGGTTTTAGTAAGGTAAGCCTTGCCCATCTGGCAGGGAGAGCCCCACATAACCCACTAGTCCACCCGGGATAAAGAAATTTTAATGCATTTCCTGAATTGAATTGAGAACCTCCTCCTTTTTTTGAAGTCGGTTAAAAAAAGGACTGAACCGATTTGGATGAAATTTGGCATAGAGATAGGTTGAGTCCCGGGAAAGGACATAGGATAGTTTTTATCCCGGTTTTAGAAACAGGGACGCGCGCAATAAAGTTTTTCTGTGACAGACAAAATTCCACGCGGGCGGAAAGCTAGTAACATTCATAAACTCCGCTAGCAACACGGCCAAACCGCAATCGGCAAGGCGCTTGCCGTCTGCCGTTAAGCCTAAGCGGCGAACGGAGCGCTCCGCTTTGTGCACAGACAAACTAATTAAGGCGACCTGGATGCGGCCCATGTGTCGCAGTTTACAGAGTCATTAGCGTGCCTGATCCGGCCCTGTAATTGGGACACAATTTGAAGTCCAGTCACTTTTGTTAGTGATATCCTGGTAATGGTTAGAGAGTCTTTTGGTCAAAAGGTTCTGGGTTTTATATCCGGAAGGGGCATTCCAAAGTTGAAGAAACATTTTGTGTAATTGGTTAGTAGCAAAATAGTTTATCTGAAAAGATTCTGTGATCGGAAGACGCGTAAAACGGGGAAAATCAAGAGTTCTGTAATGTGCTAAATGTGCTAATAGTTCTCTCATTTTGAGCAAAAGAATGTCCACTACCACTAACCACAAGGTTGTTTGGGACCGGACGTGGACGCGCCCTGGGAAGGCCCTAATCTACTATATAAAAATAAGACGGGTTTTCCTCCCTGACGCTATAACTCCAGAACGCACGAACCGATTTCCACGGTTTTGCATTCGTTGGAAAGGTCTCGGGCTCCGTGAGGTTTATAGCAAAGAAAATTCGGGAAAAGGGGGTAAAACGGGATCCACGCGTACAAAGTCGCGGGCGGCCGCTAGTATTGAATAAAATCTTTGTCTTTGACTGCTGAACATTAGGCCTTCCACGACCCGGTCTTCACTGCCCGCATCCAAATCCCTTCACCAGATTACTTATAAAGACGTAATATTGTCATTAAAGTATTACGTTCATTCTGTTTCTCTCTCTTCCAGAGGCAGCCCTGGCGTAATGGCGGTGGCAATTACCGCGGCCCGCCGGCAGCCAGTTTGCACTTTTGCGCGATGGAACACCGATATTACTATAAGTATAATATTTATAGCAAACTAGCTACCGACTTCGTTTGATAATGTAGCTGAAGTACCTAATTATAGCCCTAAGCCTACTTATGTGCTTTTTTATCCACAACGAGGAAGCTCTTGGCCTGTATCTCACCTGATGGTAAGTGACGATCAGGCCGAAGGTGGAAGCGAGCTTCACCCGGAATCCTCAACCACGGGGAACTGGCTATCTTACCTCTAACTGCCGGAACACAACAATGCTTTTAACATTGTTGTTATGACGACAGACTTAGGTAAGATGGTGATAGCTAGCCAGGCAGACTTAGAAAAGGCCCTATCTGATCAAATGAAATGAAAAGTCAATGTTATTCAGCATAGACCAAGATTGGGCTCTTGATGAAGCTAAATCGTGAATGTTCATCTACTCCAATGAATGTAGTAGGTCTGTAGTTCAATGCCGATAGCTGGATTTTGGCTTCAAGACAAAAGAAATAAGAAATAACATTACATTTTGCGACGAAATTGATGAATTTAACTTCTACATTAATAGTCTACTAATAGTTTTTCCCTCTACCTATTGCCTCTATTTTACCTACCCAGAAATCTACAGTAACCAAAGACCTCTAAGCTTCTATAATAAGCTGTACTCTAAGATATTGATCAATGAGGTATCACGGGCTCATTTAGTCATTTAGTTGAGGATAACAAATCAGTATGCGAAATAATACCACTCACTGATTAATCACAACTACACCTACAAACAAGACAGGTACCTAAATTCGTTATAGGGTGTAGACATCCGCTAAGAACGGATTTTACGAAACTCCACCCCTAAGGGGGTAAAACGGGGGTTGAAAGTTTGTATTTTTCACGCGGTCGAAGTCGTGGGCAAAACCTAGACTTTGACTTATGCCCATATTCACAAACATTACTATGAGGTCTCACAGTACGCGTGGAAGCACAGAATGACATATGAACCAATCACAGAGCTCTATTCAACGCTGTGCGTTCGATTTGCTGTTTCACTTAAGCAAGCATCGTTTGTGACTACGGGCGTTAGTAACACAGCATTGCAGTAATTCCTCGCTCCCCATATGTTATCAAGCCCATTTTATTTACTATCGACAATTTCTACCCGTCTCTACGACCCTGTACTAATAAAAGTAACGAAATGTAATCCCCCAGTTCTCATAACGCCCGCGGCGGCCGCGCGGCGCTGGCGTCGCGATCCACAGACAAATAAAAATAAATTGCGCGAAAAGCGCGGGAATCTCGGCTCTTGTCGTGAACGTCTAGGGTTGGGAGAAATGATATCTTATATTTTAACTTCATATTTTTTTAAATTATTTTGTGAATAACCACTTAAATAGCCAAAACATGATATAAGACTTAACGTTTAGTAACTTATTTATTTTTTCTGCTAATCAACAACAACAACACTGAATCGTCCCTGCCGTGACATTGACAAGAGGACGCTACCATCAATACCGAGTTATTAGTTCCGATTTTTGCCACTTAGGCTGAGTTGCACCACCAAACTTTAACCGTGACTATAACGATAACCGGTGCTTTTTGTATGGAGTTTGACAGATTTTTGACGTTTGTTCAAGTTAAAGTAAGTTGGTGCAACCCAGCCTTAGAGTTTCATAATCGTTTGACTGTAGCATTTAGATGAAAATTCAACTTTTTCTGCCAACCCTGGTGCTCGAGACGTCAGATATTACCGCTCATTATGCAAGTTCGTCGCCTGTAATCTGTTTACCTTACACTGCCAACTGACGACGACACGATACAGTTCAGTATGTACTTTAGGATGGAATATAATGTATTTTGGTGTAGAACATAACTTACAACCTTTTATTTTACAAGCTTTTATTGATAGCAAAGAGGACGATATTGAATTTGGTAATGAGGGATAGAGTCATCATCTATTTTAGAATAGCTAACGTCAAAATTCAATTTTAATAATTTCGTGCACAAATTATCATCAAG